CAGACATGAATCAAAAAAGAATTTTACAACAAACAAAAATCATGTGACCATAAAATTTTTATTGCATTTTTGATTGGTGGCGCAGAAAGTTGTGGGACTAAGTGACTTGCACTATAGCACTTCTGTATCGTTAAGAATGAACAATATATCTGGTTTTTAACTCTTTCATTACAATAATAATGATAGTGTTTAGGAAATATTTCAAGCGATTACTTTATTTAAAACCTTGTTAAATGCTATTTTAAATTTTTTATTAAAATTTCTTATAGCACATACAATATATGCTGCAACTATTTACTCAATACGAAGTTACCCAAGAAAATATTATTTTTTAAACGTGTGTTTCTGTGTCTCAGAAATAAATCAAAAGATAATAATTTTACTAGGAATAATTATGTTAAAAAAACAGAGTGATTTGATAGCGGAGACAAGAGTAGATAATATTATAAGCAATGTTAAAATAAGAGAAAGGGTATTAAGACTATGGTTCACCTTTTGTTTTTTAATATAGAAAACGAATTAGGAAATTCGTCATATTCGAATTGATGCCAGTAAAAAATTTTAGCCAATGTGATCAGTGTTGGGAAATTGAGTGCGTGCGGAGTTTGTGTTATATAAAATTTTGTGATTACTAAAAAATATTTTTTATTAATAATATACAGTATATAAAAACCAAACAATAATAATACTAACGAATATTTTATTAATTATTAATAGATTGTGTAGGAGTGATCAAAGTAAGCATTAAGGAAAGATCTATGAACAAAACATACTAACAAATGTTTTATCAAATATTCAATAGTTTGTGCAAGGAAAAGATTTATGAATAAAATATACTAACGAATGTTTTATTAATTATTTTAATAGTTGTATAGGGATCAAAGTAAGCATAGCGGGCTTAAGTATTATTGGTTGATTTTATTTAATATTAATATAAAAATTTACCATCATCTGACTTTAACTCAATTGGCTTGCCATCAAAAACGAATTGTCCAACAATATAATAATAATAATAAATAATATATACTAATACTTTCAAATTAATTCGACAAAAAGTGAAGTAATTCGGAAGTTAGCTACAGAAGACTTTTTAACATTTAGCAAATCAATAAATTTTTTCAAATAAGAAATTTTATAATCAAATGAGATAGGGGAAAAAACTCTCTATATATTTATTATAGAAAAAATTTTTGTTTAATTTTATTATGAAAAAAAAAAGTTATCATGGTTTAAAGTTATTCGATTTATTATTAAATTTTACCATAAAAATTTACATTGTAACTGAAATTTCTTTTTATAATTCATGTTTTCAAAAAAATATATTGATAGTTGAATTTTGTTGTCAACATTTACAATGTGTTGAAATATATGATAAAGATACTAAAAAAATCCGCACATAATTTGTAACATATGTTTGATGATCAACAGCCACGATGCATGCATATTAATTAAACAAATTTTGCCCCGATCTGCAATATGTTAATTTACTGACGAATTGTGAACTAGAAAGCATGTCAAAACTATCGTTACAGAATGCAATCTTAACTTACGAGCAACTTGAAACCACACCTTCAAGAAAAGATGGAATCCCTGAAGATTTGGAGGATGAACTTCGTAGATTTGGTTGCGAGTTGATTCAATCAGCTGGAATTTTATTGAGATTGTATGCATAGATAAAAAATTTTGCCAAAACAAATATATATATATATATATATAGTAACGACAATAATTTCATTTATTAATATATTATAGACCACAAGTGGCTATGGCAACTGCACAAGTTCTTTTTCAACGATTTTATTATGTTGCTTCATTAAAAAAATTTTCTATTAGGGTTGGTCACATATATATATATATATATATATTAAGAGAGAAATGAAGAAATATGAATTAATGGATTGCTTTAACTGTTTTTAATTGTTTAGGATATAAGTATTGGTGCATTGTTTTTAGCATCAAAAGTTCAAGAATCTCCTTGTAAAATACGTGATTTGATAAACGTGTATCATTATTTAATCAGACATTATAAGCATTTACCTCAAGATCCTTTGGAGCCTTTGGGATCTGTTAGTATTTTCAATATATTAATAATGATGATGATGATGATGATGATGATGATGATGATGGTGATTACATTTGCATAATTCATATATTAATTAATTAATTAATTAATTAGGAATATTATGAAATGAAAGATGCACTTGTAATAGCAGAGATGCAAATTTTGAAAAGACTCGGATTTAATGTCCATGTTCAATTACCATATGGTTTAATGGTAAATTATTTGAAAACTTTAGAATTGACAGAACATGAAGTTATTCCACAAAAGGCTTGGGGATATTTAAATGATGCGTAGGTTTTATTTTTTATTTTTATTTTTTTCACTTTTTTAAAAACATTTTTTACGAGTGTGTATATTTATAACTAATTATTACTAAATTTATTATGAATTAAATTACAATAATAATGATGATAATGATAACCACCAAAAAAAAAAATTTTATGTCAAGTTTACGTACAAACATTTATGTATGTTATCAACCACCTACGATTGCATGTTCAGTCATTTGGCTTGCTGCTAAAGTAAGTAAAGTAAAATTGCCCACATCGTTAAAGTGGTGGGAATTATTTGAAGCAGAATTTTCAGATATAGAAAAGATTGCGAGTCATATAACGAAATTGTATGCACTTCGATTACCTTCAAATTTACCACTTACATTAGACGAATTAGATGATTATTTAAAAAATGTACAAAATAAAAAAAATCAGGAAAAATAATAAAAATGAATTAATATATTATTTCTTTTTTTTTCTTTAATTAAAAAATTATTTTATAATTTATTCTTTCTATTCTGGAAATTATTTATTTTCTAATTGAATAAATTAATTAAATGTCACTTGTACATTTTTTTTGATTATATATATACACACACATTGATTTATTGATTTATTCTTTATTAATAAATAATGATGATGGTGATGGTGGTGGTGGTTATTATTATAGTTCATCTTTAATATGATTAATAGATGTTGCAAATAAATTTTTTAATTCTATTAAAAAATAAATAAATAATTAAATCATCTAAATTCGGCCAATTAATTAATAATAACGATGATGATGATAATGATAGTAATTTACCTTCTTTAGTTGGATCATCAATTTTATTAGGAAATATAACAGTATATTCAACATATAAATCACCTTTACTTGGTGATGATTTATATCTTGGCATGCCCTCATTATTTATCACTTGTGTGAATCCTGGCTGTGTTACTGCTTCACGTTTTAAATTAACTATTCTACCATCGAGATGCGTTATATTTTTTTCAAAGCCTGTCAATGCCTATAAAATTTGAATATTTAGAATATTTAGAAAATCAAGAGAAGATGGGAGGTCTGAAAAGAAAAGAAGTGAAATTAAATGAAAAAAATTGGATCTTACATCAATCAATGAAATTGTTTCTTTTATGTGTAAATCATCTCCTTTCCTAGTAAACACTGGATCAAGTAATGTCTTGATGTTAAAAATAATATCACCTGGTATTATATCAGGTGCTTCATCTCCCTCTTTATCAAATACCTTTTAAATATAATATTAATTAAATATATTAGATATATATACTTGTAGGTGCAAGAACATGTATTAATAGTTTACAATCTAATAATAATAACACTTACAATTGATGAACCATCTTCTATTCCTTTTTCAATTACAAGGGTTAGTTGCTCATTTCCACGTCTAACTTTTTTCCCATCACAAACTGGACATTTAGATTTTATCATTTTACCTTTACCACCACAACTCTCGCACCTTTTATTATTAATATTATTGTTAATTAAATAATCAAAATTAGCAGAATCGATTTTTTTTATCCATTTCCAAAAAAAAAAAAGAAAAAATTAATATATTTACGTTGTTTGAAATTGTTGAAATATTCCAGGTGCAAGCATTTGTTTAACTATTCTAACACCATGTCCACCACATGCAGTACATGACGTTACATCATTTGGGCTTTTTGCTCCACTGCCTCTACAATGATCACAAATTACTTGTTTTGACACATCTATTTCATGTGTTGTACCCAAATATATTTCTTTTAATTCTACTTCTATTTCCATTACAATACTTGGTGATTGACGCTCTGAATTTCTGGAACGACCTAATAAATAAAAGCATAAATGAATATATATGAATATATATGAATGATTATGAATTTGAGATTAAGAGAATAATCATAATACCAAATATTTGTGACCATATATCAAAAGGATCAAATTTTTTATCAGAAGGTTGGTGTTGCTTTAATCCTTCTTCTCCATATCGATCATAAATTGATCTCTTCTCTTCATCTGATAATGCTTCATACGCTACATACATGATCCAATCATTAAATCAATCAATCAATTAATCGAACGATTGATTAAATTAACAAATCAAAAAATTAAAAACAACAAATAAACAAATTCAATAATAAAAACCTTCTGCTAATTGAACAAATTTTTTTTCTGCCTCTTTATCACCCGGATTTTTATCAGGATGATATTTTTTTGATAATTGTCTATACTTTTTTGCAATTTCTCTTGAGGTGGCTGTACGTGAAACTCCAAGCACACTATAATAATCCGTCCCCCCACATACAAACTCAACTGAAAATAATACCAAAAGCCCTAGTAATGAAATTGCGGATATTTTCATTTCTTTGAATGGAAATAAATAATAAAATTTTAATTATTTGTTTTTAATACAAATTAATTTTATATATGTGTTGTTCAACATTCATTGGATGAAATTTTCGTGTTTAGATGCTGTGTGCAGTGTAATGCTCAAAAATATGAATTTTGGATTTTTGACAAGTTGATTGAACTTTTTATTGCTTTAAATGGAAAAATCATCTTCAACATATGAGTTGAGCTTTAGCCATTTAAAGATGTACCTTTGATGTACTCCTATTTTGCTTATTATTAACCCATATATTAGTAGCACAACAATTTAAAGTACAATGGAGAAGAAAGCAAGGAAAATGATGGGACCTAATTTATTTTTCCATTATATTTGAAAATAAAACAATTATTAACATAGTTCATTCATATGAAAAGCCAATCATTCTTTCCTGTTATAATAGTGCGGATGATTCTTATAGAATATAAAATGTAAAATTTTCTTCATCCAGGAGCAATATCTTCCAAACCTGGACGGATAAAGATGGTGATCTAGTAATTAATAACAAACGAATATTCTTTTGTAAATAAGTAATCTAAAATCGCTTCTTGACAAATAATTTAAAACTATTCATCGCATAATTATACCATAAACATTTCCTGATCTGATTTTACAATAATTCAAAGCTTGAGATTATAAATATAAAACTACTCACCTCATCAAAAACAAAGCATTTCCGAATTATTTAAGCATCAAAATAACTACTAAATTTTTCTTTTTGCCTACATGATAGTATTTTTTATTTTGAATTAATCATAAGGTGTGTCCGCCCATTCTATAACCTAAGTTGGGATGAATGACTGCATTTGATATTGTTGAATAAAATTATCAACTATACTATTTCCAATCTACTTGGTGCCTTGTTTTTGGAATTTTCTTTATTTCGTTCAACTGATTGCAAAAATAACCTTTTCTATTTTCTCTACCGTGCCTAGAAAGCTTCGATGAATCTATAAGCACCCGAATAATTGGAAATAAATAAAATGGCACTCTTACAAAGCTCAAAAGGCTTCTATAGAGTTCCTTTTTATTTCAACTGTTTATTTTTATCTGGCCAATTTTGGTTTATTTACAAACCAATTTAAGCAGCTTGTTTGACAGTCTTACGTTTGCGATTACAATAACACTATTAGTATTTCCAATTAACCTTTGGGTAATATTTCACTAATTGTTGTTAATACCCACCGGTTTGTACTAAATACTTGCTTACTCACTAAAGCAAATAAAATGCAAATTTTTACAAGGGCTCCACAATTGTTGCCTTTTTACCAAGGTACTCCACTTACCAAAGCACTTTAAACGAAAAATATTTTTATTTTAAAGTTTATTAACAACGCTAAGAATTAATTTTATTTTATAAAAATAATCAATTATTACAAGATTTTATGTTAATGGTATATTTATTTCCCTCTGCTTTTTCAAGCAAGGCCTGTGAAAATTGCACCGTAATTAATTGAATTCTTTAATTTTAAATCAGATTAAATTTTATATTGAGAATATTGAGAATCCGTAATTATTGTCATGATCACTTTTCTTATGACAAACAACTATAATTGCAATCCCACAACACGTATTCCATACATAATCATAGATCAGAATCACGTAAAGATAATAACGCGAATTCTACTATAAAAACCATTCAAACTCAGAAAATTTTGCCCGTTGATCAACTGAGAATATATTTAATATTTAAGCTAATGATATTTGTGCCTTTGCCATTAATTGTGAAACCATTCACGTTTCTTGACGAAGTTGACAATGCCTTTTGCATTTGTTCGTGAAGCACTCAGTTAGTTGCTTAATAGCAAAATTATTTTGTTCGGATGCTTTCTTCTGGTCAGTATATTTACAACGTTTTAGACAATTTGGATACCCATGTGATTATTATTAAAATTTGAAGTGAAAAAATACTTTAGAATGGAGAGAATCATTTTATTGAATTGAAGAATATATTAGATGAGAATATTCCATTTACAAGATTCAATCAAATTGCTTCAATTAATTTTCATGACACTTAAAATTGCTTTGATAAAGAAGCATATGACATTTCAATGTCAACTTACTGATAAATGCCCAACACTACTTCTAATTCGGACAACATCCAAGAAATATGATTTTATGATTTTGAATTGATTCGTTGAGGAACCAAGATGATTTCTAGAACAAACTATATACTACAAAAATAAAAAAAAAGCGGGCGAGCTTTGGAATAAAAAAAGACCTCAAATATTTATAAAGTTTTATTTTTAAAATCAAATAATTAAAAATCCTAATTATGAAATGGTTTCATATTAATATCGACATGGTTCCTATTCGAATAATGTTGATTCGAATCAAATGAATGATTCGGAATTAACTTGAGTATTCGAATTATATCAATATCAATATTTACAAGATAGCTCAGCGACAATTAATTCTAGAGCTGATCGATTTTGGATTAATGATTGTAAAAGCAATTTTATTATTTCAAATATTATTATTATAAACAAAATGAAAAGATGATAAAAAGATAAATGAATATATAATGAATAAATTTATAGCAGAAATTAAATTAATCATCTATTGATAATTCATCAATTTCATCAACCTCATTAATCCTTTCAACATTTTTTCCTTTACCATTTAAGAGAAGAGAGTTGATATCAAGATTATTTAATGAACTGTCATTACTATAACCTTTTGAGCTTTTTGATTTAGTAATTTCATCTTCTAATATTCTACTTGTATGACAAGCATCTGGATGCGATTTGTGTAATTGTTGTGAATTGCTATTACTACCACCACTGCTGCTTCTGCTACCATTATTAAAATCAATTTTATGTTTTTTAGTTTTGTAAAATTTGGATAATCTTTTTATTAAGCTATTGTTATTACTATTTTTAAAAATTTCTTCTAGTTTATTAACAGCAAAGTCAAAAAGCTCTTCAATATCTAGCCTTTTAGATGGATCCACATCCCAACATCTTTGCATCATATGTGCATAATCAACTGGCATTCCAGGTAATATTGGTGGTCGTAAACCTTGACATATATCAAATATTAAATGGTGATTATGAC